TTTTAAAGAGCCAACCTATATTAGCCTTGGCCAAAAATAAATAAAGTCACTGTGCTAGACTAAGATGAAGATCATATCAAAGTCAGTAACACAGTGATCAGGCAAAACATATTGTAAGCTGTCCCAAAAGAAAATTTTTTAACTGCTTCCTGAAATACTTCAAACAACAATCCAGACAAAAACGCATACATATAATGTGATTCTCTTCCTCAGTGTACCTTTTAAATTATGAAGTGGGTCCTACTGGGTCAACAGTACCAGAGAGAACACAGATATAAATGTATTTCAACTTATTAAGAAATGGTTGAATGACTTTAAAAAAATCAGTCCAGGATAGAAGCGTTCTCAGCTAATACAGGTGCTGAATTTCCCCCCTATGCCTCTGTGGCTTATGAGGGAGCACTATTGTTTCACATCCAGAATCCAAACCTGTCTGCACACATCAGTATGAACTCAGCAATTTATATTGCTTACACGTGAAATTACCAACCAGCGCTCTAGGTAACAGTACCAATCCAGCTGCATCTTCTATCTCCCAAAACACAAGTGCTAAAATGTACCTAAATACAATGGCAAAAGGGATGAATATTTTACATTTTTTTTAAATCCACCAGCAACCATGGGAGTTCTAATACAGATAAAACACTGGCTGGGTCCAACTAAAGCCATGGCATCATAAAAGTCAAAGTGAATCTAATCAATGTGATGCTGAACACGGGGTAGCAGCTGGTCCATCTACATTAGGACGCCCAGTGCTGCCAACACCGATCAGTATTAGGTCATCATTGTAATCTTTTTGCCAATCCAGGGATAACCATGATTTCTATGTTGCAACAACGCTAACAGAAGCAAGACAATCTGAATGCAGTACTGTCAAAGCATTTATAAATGGAAACTGTTTTTAAAGGCAGTGTACGGGGTAGCAGCTGGTCCATCTACATTAGGACGCCCAGTGCTGCCAACACCGATCAGTATTAGGTCATCATTGTAATCTTTTTGCCAATCCAGGGATAACCATGATTTCTATGTTGCAACAACGCTAACAGAAGCAAGACAATCTGAATGCAGTACTGTCAAAGCATTCATAAATGGAAACTGTTTTTAAAGGCAGTGCTGATCTCATACCATGGTGGGTTGTAGAAAGCATTTTAACATCTCCACAGGAAATTGGAGGTGTAGTTGTGGTACACTTAGGCGTGTCTGTGCTACTTTTAATCTGCTAAAACACTTTATAATTGGTCAAAGCACAACCATCAACTTGCATTAACGACAAATACGTGTTCCGGTGAATCACACACACCAATTCTGTAAGATGAGCTATGTTACCATGTCTTCATTGCTAGCACCACAGGCTGGACAAGACACACGCTCATTTCAACTTCTAATCAGCCGTACCAAAAATATTCAGCAATTCTTCATCTCTATTTGCAAACAGAGATATATTTTTCAGATGCATTTTTCAAACGAGACTCGTATTTTTCAGCACAAAATTATAAACGTATTTCGTCCAGAAAATCCCTATCTATGTTTCCACTAGAGCACGTAGGTGCTGGCTGCTGCTGCTTCAGGGGAGGAAGAGGGGGCAGAGGGCGGGTGCAGGTGCCGAGCTGACCAGGGAGGTAACGCTGGCAGTCCCGGCGCCCTCCACGCCTGCACCCCGCGCCACGCGCCCCTTCCCCACCACCTCAAACTCCCGGGAGCAGCCGCTGGGGACAGCTGCCCGCCTCCG